CAATAATAGTGGAATAAAAAATATTTAGCACTCTCATTTCTTTTTTATAAGAATGATACTGATTATTTACTAATGTGTTAGTGTCACATATGGACAGGAAAGCTTTCTTTCTTTTACCTGAAATTCACACTAAATATACAGTGTGATTATAAGAAAGATATATATATATATATATATTTAAAATGAATATATCTTAACAATAACTTACTTACAGGGAGTTAAATTTCTCATAGGTGCACTGATAATCGCAAGTTTTATTTTGAAAAGATTGGACATAATACAGTGTATTTTAAAGCCATATTATACTGTATACTTAAATAATCTTTCTCATCAATTACTTTTATTTTTCTTTCCACTATACAAGATAGAGAATTTTAATAAAATATGTGTATGTGTCAACAGCAGGATACTGAAAAGATCAATGAACACTGTGTAGTGTGAAGATACTACATATGTTACTCTCCTATAGTATATATTTATTATATCCAAATTATTAAATTGTTCTAAGTTGTGATTCTAGAATACATTAAATCTGGTAAAGGTCACATGCTAAATTCAACTTGAGGTGTAACTTGTCCATCCAGGAACTTATCTATTATTTCATGGAATAACTGCATTGTATCCTTCTTAACATTGTGTTTGGGGGATAAGTTACAGCTGTGACATAGTACAGAGATATTTTCACATGCCAATGCCATTTTCTGATTAGTCAGCTGCAAGGAGACTGTACTCTGTGATGCACAGTTTTGGGAGAGAACGTTCATCTCTCTTGAACTAAGAGAGTAAGAACACACTATGAAAGTCCTGTCCTGGTTTCATTGTATTTGTACCTGAATACACTGTGAAAATCCTGACTACAGGACAGTATTTGTACCTAATGATCATGAGAGGTATAATCAAATCTTATCAATTCATTTAGTTCTACTTTCATCCTTTTCTTACTTGTTCTCTTATATTTGTGTGTTCACTTGTTTTTTTTCGTGCATTAATATATTGTGTTTTATTTTTAATTTTTTGGACTTAATAACCATGTTTTTCTACCTGTCACTGCACTTCCCTTCTGCACATTATCTCCACAAGTTTCTTGGTTTTGTGGAGACTAGATAACCGTGTGCAGATATAACCTTGGATTACCACAACTTTTTAAGATAGATGATGTTTGCATCAGGTTTATTTAGCAACACACTTGATATGTTGATTGAGAACGACAAAAGGAATACAGAACACTTTCTGAAACATCCTATACCATATCCAAACTTTTCTGAATAAAACTTAAAACTCTCAATGTGCCTCTGATGAAATTTAGTTACCTTAAGGACATTAGTTTTTAAATTATTGTAACATTTTGTACTTATATACAGGAACCACTTTTTATTACTTCTCATTGTAGTAAGTGTCTCTTTCTCAGAAATAAAAGTAATGAAAAATTAGGCAACCTGCAAAGATTTTTTCTGCAAGAAAATTATTATAACAATTGCAAGATAGTTTAATAGTTCACTGTAAAGAAGCATCTAGCTGAAACCAAACATTTTGAGTATAGATATAACTATACTCACAGTTTAGCTACTTTTTCATTATTTTTTTAGTATATTTTTTTTCATGAAATGAATTTATCATAGGGAATTCTTTTCAACTTTCAAAAATAAGATTAAAAATATTTTTACAGCTATGGAATATTTAGCCAGTTCTGATTTCCTCAAATTATTGAACAATATACCTATTTTAGGAACAATAAATTTCTTCTTACGTTAGTTGTTTGCAGAATAATTGAGAAACATTGCATAGTAATGATAAGATTTCAATAATTCAATTTTTAATGGTAATCCATAGACTTGCCTAGTTGGTATGTGAAACAAAGCATGTAAAAATAATCACTAAAGAGATACAGGAATGCATTAAGGATCATAATAATTTAGGAACAATCATTATACAATAGTTCCACATGCTTCTAAAGGATCAAACTCATATGATGAATAGAGACTTCAGTACCATTAATCAGGCAAGGGAAATACATGTCCTACAAACAAAGAACTATTTTTTTCATTAACCTAAAAGAAATAAAATGTAATCAAAAGAAAATACTTTACCAAAGCATTTCTCTGGGTGAATGATATTTAGAATAGGATTATAAAGTGCTTTAGAATGAATTATGTAAATTTTGATTAAGCTATTAATACCTGTTGAGGATACGGCCAATTGGAGTGGTATCAAAAAAAGACATTGGAGCTCTCATGGTAGACTCTATCATTTTGTCATGAAGGCCACGAGAAGCTTTTACAGTACCCAATGCTAATAAAACTCCACTAAACAAAACAGATATTCCTGCAAGAAAGAAAACCCAAAACAGTGTTAATTCTATGCAATGATTTTGCCTTCTAGTTTAGTCATTTCATTAAAAGTAATTCATTAACTTGCTTATAACTGCTATTGCCAATTGTATATTAAAATTCAATATTTTCAAGGCAAAGAAGAAAAAAAGTGAAAAAAGACAAAAATTCTGATTTATTGATATGCTGCAATTTTATTATATTTTATTGATTGTGTAGTATTCAGTTCCACTGATATCCAACAAAAAGTACCTGTAAATTAAAAACAGATTCAGGAAATGTACTGCAGAGATTAATTTAAAACACAGACAGCAAAAGAAAGAAAAACATCTGAAGAAACAACAGAAATTCAGACAAAACATTAAAAGTAAGATATATTATAATTCAACACTGCATATGTCACCAACTATTCAGAACAACATTTACATGGAAAAAAAACCCACATCATACAGATTTGTAAAATAATATGTACTACCCCTTGAGATGGACTAATCTTTTATTGGGGGGAGGGGGGAGAATAGATACACCATACAGCCTAAGGAATAGGAGTTTCTAACTTTTGGTTATGCAACTTTAACTGAGTAAAAGGATTAATACATGTTTACAACCTTTTTACATACACAGAACAAGAATATGTCATACTAAGCGCGGAATGCGTGCATGAAAATTACCCAAATATGTCTGACTAAAGATATTGTTATTGTAACTGACATATTGGTTAGAGAAAGCTGTTTATTGTAATAATAACTTTAAGATCGAAAGGTTTAGGCTTAGAAAGTTCTAAAGATTTTGAAATCAGATTTTCTAGTAAATTCAAAGGTAGATTATAAATACAGGGTTCAGTGAAGCATAAAAAAAATAGATGTGAAGATTGTAGAGCTGTTTCAAGATAGTCATTTATAGCTGGTAGAGTGATCCAGTCAGTATTTTTTTATGTTTCAGTAATGAAGTGGTACAAGTAAGATTATTCTTTACATTAGTGTAATAAAGTTAGTGTTATTTGTAAATGTGGCCTATAAGTTCCCCAGTGTTTAAGCCTGTAAAAACGTTCATGAAGAAATAAGTTAATTTATTTTCATTTAGATGGACTGGACTTTGAATTATTTCCACAAGATGACTTAAAAGAGCCCACCATTGAAAGAACAGTGTTATGATGGCATAATATAAACTAGTCATAGAAAGGTGAAATTCATGACTATTTCAGTTATTAAACCTCAAAGCTGAAAATAAATAAAATTGTCAGACTAAAAAAAGATTCAGGTGAGCATACAATTCCATTTTCATGGTGTCTATTTTGAGGGAAAATTTATTCTTGTGGGTAATTTCAATGTATACCGTAAAAAGTCTTAGTAATTTAAGAAAGTATGATTCTTGTTTTTCTAGAATTGTAAAATGATTAAAAAATTATTTTTGTGAATGAGATTTATAAAAATACACAAACAGTGTTTAAAAATATATGTTTTTTAAGTTTTAAACAAAAAAGATAATTTGAAAAATATAAGGATAAATGTAAAGGCTAAATTAAAAATATGAATGGAAATTACCTTGAGCTGCTCCTAACAATCCATATACAGTTAACCTCCAGTTACGAACAGCAATATTTTGAGTCCCATCAGGTAAAGGTTTATCATTACTCCAGGCACTTAACCAAAGATTTGCACCAGCCTAAAAATTTCATGTATTTGCCTTAATACAAAGTTCTAATAATGTTCAATGTCAAAATAAAAATCTTGATACTAATAATAATAATAAGTGCTTGGCTGGATAATAATGCGTAACATGGCATTTCGTTTTACAACTTTGTATTCCTCTGTGCTGATAATGTTATATTCAGCATCAATAAGCATAGCACCAACAAAAACTTCAATTTTTCTATTATTTTGTTTTAAAACATTATTTCTTCTAAAGCATTATTGGCAATTTTTTATAGATAAATAGTACAGCTGAAACCTTATAATTGCACCAATCTCCTACATCACATTCAAAGACATAAGTGCTAGCCTATGTGAAATGAATAAACAATATCTTCCTAAGCCTTGCACCAAATTACGTTAAATCTTGTAACAATTAAGATTTGTAAGTTAAAAACATTATTTTAGAATAACCAAAATTTACCTTTGGTTGGTAGTATACTACAGTTTTATTTATGTTTTTTTTTCCCTTAAAAATATGCATAATATGTGGAAAACAGTAGTGTACAAGTTTATTACAACACCCCACTGGAAATCCTGTAGTTTTAATTTGTTGTGCTTAAGAAATAAAAGCATTGTAGTTTAAAATGTTGGATATAGTATCACAACTTGTTAATTTCCTGACTTTATACATGACTTTAATATGCTACACATTTAATTAATTAAAAATTGTAAATGAAAAGCAACACATAGCCAAAAATGATTAAGCATAGTAGATTTATTAGGAGTCATTGAAGATGTCTAATCTAAATACAAAGTAGTGGTACATTGTCATATACTTGCCAAGTTTACCAAGTACTAGAAAGTAATACTGGACAAATATATGGCAGGAGATGGAGAAATAAAACTCACTGAAAGAGATGATGCAAGTCTAAAAATAAATTCCATGAATACCAAAGGAAAACTGCAAAAACATTGATGATGACAATAACAAGTCATGCATGTATAAAGTTTCAAGAAGTATAGTCTCAAGAATGCAGCAGAAATGTGGCTTTTGGGAAAGAGTAGTAGCATAAAAGCTCTTATTGCATAAAGAGAATATAGAAAAGAAACTAGCTTTTGTAAAAGAACATGTATATATCCTGGTCTTTGGAACAGTGGCATAAGATAAGCAGTTTAGTCCAAAGAGTCAGTAATAAGTTGCAGATGAGCCTTGTGCCAACATTCAAGCATGTTGGAAGCTTTGTGATAATTCTGGAGTGCAATATCTGCAAATGATGTTGGCTATCTTCCTCAAATCAGTGAAATCATGGATCATTATAACACCACATCATATATTAATTTATCCAGAAATGTTGACCTTGTTGGCAAAGAAAGAAAACTCAGAAGATTTCCAGTTTATGGAATTGTCATTATAAAGTCTAGATCTTAACCATTAAAACAAATTTGGAATTTGCTGGACTCCACACTTGATAAAAGTACCAACTGTACTGAAGAAAGTCTCTGGAAACAGCTTCCACAAAAATAATTGAACTGCACCAGAGACTTTGAGAAAATACACAGACACAATAACACAATGCTGTTACTTAAACAGTCACACTAATTATTAACATTAAAGAAACCTAGACATTACCTGTGTACTAATTTTGTAATAGTTTCCTATAAGATTAAATCATTACAAGTTAATTCCTATAACTAATCCAAGACTATTTTGCGTGTATAGCTCATAAAATAAAAGTTGTTGAACTGTTTTTATTAATTTGCACACTGCTTTATGTATACTTTATTCCATTAATTTCATGCACATACCTCACAAACTTGAAACATCACAACTCCTAAGATGGAACAAAAGGCAATAGGATAGGTCATGTTCTTTAGGTAGCTAAAGTAGACACTAGCTTTAACCTGTAATAAAAATAAATTTAATTTCGTTAAAATAAAAAAAATAAACAAGCATATAATACATTTAGATTTTCTTAAAATGTGTAAATTTACATAATTAAAATTTGAAAATGTACACAAACACCTACTATATATGTAGACATTTATCAATAATTTTTCTAACAGCGCAAACTTTGACTGATCAACTCTTAAACCACCTACGCTTTATGGCAAAACACCAGTCCTACAGCAAAGTTATAAAAGAAAATTTAAAGCTGAATCAAAAATAGGAAATTAGATGTCCAAGAGGTTTTAAAACAATTTGGTGTGTGAACCACACCAACTGCAATATCATAACATATTTTTTCTCTTAAGTGTACATTTGTTACAGATTGTAGTTCAATGTCACATACTTAAACAAATTTTTAATCTCACCTTTAAGTAAAATATTAAGAAGTCATCAAGAACTTCAAAAATATTTCAAAGCTTGAGACTTAATTTGAATATTTCAAATACTATTTCGGCTAAATATTTTATATTTGGAAGTCGTGTAAACACAATAATAAAATATTTTTTTCCAACCTTTCCAACTTCCATTTTTTCTTCTTGAATCAACATAGCACCTCTTTGTTTGCTGATTACTTCCCATTCTTCATCATTTAATTCTTCAGAATCAATAGACAACAACAAGCTAAGAGCCTCTCTGTCATGCAGAAAACTTTTTGATCTCTGCAAAACTTCACTTTCATGTAAAACTTCAGGAAGGTATTCATAACTTTGTCTGTAATACATCAAAAGAGAATATTGCAAAAAGAAAACTTAAGTAACTGAAGCTCAATGCATAATCTATAGAAATAATTATTTTATAGCTAACAAGCTTCCAATTATTAATTTCTAATGCAAAACTATTATTGATAATCAGTAATAATGATAAATAAAACATAATCAAATGTGCCTTCCTTTTGTGGTAATCACTTCAAAAAACATTTAATGCAAAATATGCTTTTAACTTATTAAAACAGTACCACTAGCATCATATTAATTTAAAATGGAACCCCTGTGGAAGCAAGTTTATATGTAACCCAAAAGTGAAGTAATATATAAATCAATTTTGGAACATTTTTGACATCTGAAAAAAAACAAAAAAACCTAATTATACCAATCAACACTTCAAATACAATCTGTTAATGAACGAAAGATGGTATAGTAAATTCTATGGAATTCTTGATGTTTTGAAAAAAATTATCATACTGCATGACCCTCTGACTCTTCACAAAGAATGTACACGTATATACAAAACTAATGCTGGTACAGTACTGGTTCTATAAAATTTCTGACATTCGGTCATATTTAATATCCTTCAGATTATCTATAACTTAAAAATAAGCAATAACAGTGGAAAAATGTTGCATTTCAAATGACTAATACCTTGCTAACAAAAGTCATGCTATACAACCCTCCAATAACTCATGAATATAATAACACTGAAATAGTGATGATGGAATATTTCTTTAAATTGATATTAATACTTGATAAAAATAATTGATTTAAGACACACTTAATTCTTTCATTGCTAAACTAAAACTGGAAAATGATGGAAAAAAATTTAATAACATTTTTGATTGCTAAAAAGTTGTAATATAACACATCTCAGAATTTACAACAAACAATGGAAAAATAAGTTTATTGGTAACTCTCATATCTGGTGAATAGTTATTTTTTTGTAACAAGATATTAAAATAATTCATAAGTAACAAAAAACTGGAGTTATAAGAGGGGAAAAGATTTAATATAATAAAATTCAGACATTGGAAAATGAACATCAAAGACTGATGGAAATCTAAAAAAAACAGTTCCCAAAATGTGTAGGTACGATCTATTAGACAACTTTTAACACTATTTCTATTAAACTTTGCATACCTCTTTTCCTGAGGTTCATCAGAACTTTCGTCTTGTACTTTGTTCAAGTTTTGCAAAATCAATTCTGCAAAAAGTCCTTTCCTGCTCATCAAGTCTGAGTAAGTGCCCTCATCCTCAACCAATCCATCTTTCATGACTATTAAGTAGTCTACTTCAGGTAGCACTGACAAGTTGTGTGTAACCAGAACACATGTCTAGCATTTAAAAAGATTCTGAATTATTTTTTTTTCTGTATTTTATAGTAGTTCATTTTTATCTTTCAAAATTGAAATGACCAATAAATGTTAGTTTTCCAGATAAAACACAAACACACTGACCCCTCAGTAAAATAAAACCACTGGTGGTACCAACAACTATTAATTCTAACTGAAAACCTTGCAGCAAGTGCAATAGTATAGTAATTTTTATGAATCTACATATGAGAAAGGGTACTGCATTGCATAAAAGGTTGTGTAATAATTATATCCTATACTAAGTTATTGCACTGATTTTTTTCTTTTTGTACTAAAATACTATTACTGGATTAGGTTTCATTTTGTTGGAGAACATTGTACAAACTAAGGATAAGGATAACACATGAACTATCAAATTGCATGGTGGTTCAAGGTGATCAACCTATTGGTTTCTTATTGTTTGTCTTCATCAGATACTGGTGACTGAAGGCTTACTGTGTTTAGACCATGATGTTTCATAAGTGATAAACTATTTTGGAATACTTGATTAGTATGGGAATGGTGGAATCCAAATATTGTTGAAGTTTGAGCTTGATCATTATTCACAATTGATTACTGACTTCTTTGATACAATCCTTTCAAGCTTTATGTTTTTTTTTCATGTTTTTGTTATCTCGTATTAAAGTAATGACAGGAATGAATGCAACAATGGCTGAAAATTTTGGATTTTTGACATTATACTAAATACATCTTGGTTTTTGTTTGCTCACTCAGCTAAGTGTTTATTTATTTCTCAAGCATATTAGCTCAACAAGTGCCATTCCAAACTGCATGAATAACAATTTATCTGATGGATGTTTAACTCTGGTAAGTTGTTTATGAAGTATTGCTACTTGAATTTTAGTGAAAATGAAAGGTTGAAATATTTTAAGTTCTTATTTCTGAATCCAAAAATTTTAAAGATAATTATTACCCTTTAATAACGTTGCAATAAATGCTAAAACATACCTATGTTTATGATAAGAAAACTAATAATTCTATGTGTCCACCAGAAACTTTATTAAGTCCATAAGTATGTCAGAGAACTAACTGAAGCTAAGTTATTATATTTCTTTGTACATCAACTTTTTAAACAGTATAAGGCTTTTCTACAATGCTTTAAAAAGATATAACTTCATGTTTATTTCAGAGTATTCATCCATTTCATGAAAGAAAGTACTATGGATTACCAAAGAAGTTTCAAAGAAAAGTCCATTTTTCATTGTTTGCTCTGGTAATACAAATACAGCTTTCCAAGAGCACCAAAGTCTTTTGGTGCATTTACTGAAAGGTCTCAACTAATTAAGATGACTCTATTACTTGTTTTGGTTTCTGTTAAATGGAAGAGGTGTGAAAGAAACTTGTGAATTTTATCTTGTAAAGAAAAAATTCATCATATAACGCTAAAAACCTTTAAAGACATAAAAATAACAAAGAAGGAATACAATTTATAGGCTTAGTTGTTAAGGAAATGAACAGCAAATGAAAATGATGTAAGATGAAACTATTATAGGGAATAAAAAATAAAATGTTTTGTTTTTGACTGATTTATATGTTATCTTTTTCCTAAATTGAAAATGTATTTACAGTAATACTTACCACTGCTGACACTTATAGCTACTACTTGACCGCCAGGGTTTCTTCTTTACCCCATCTAAGTATTGGTCTGAATTTTTCTTGCTTGCTCCAGTCTTTTATACCCCACTCAATTGCCCTTGGTGATATTTGTCTCATGATACTCTCCACCTATGTCAATGCACCCTCTATCCTGATCTGTATATAAGCACCTCATTAAGATAATGTTATCACTTTTTCGAGACTGACACCTTCTCAGTTTCTAACACTGGCTATTAGTGGGGAGGAAGGGTGGGAGAGTATCAGCAGAGGTAAGTATTAATGAAAATACATTTTCAATTTAGGCAAATGTTAACTTCCAAAACATGCTTATCTCTATGAGACACTTATAGCTAGAATCCCACATTAAGAAAATGGAGGAGCTGGTGAGGACATTATCGATACAGAAAGTATCTGCATAGATCATGGGTGTACCAAAATAAGATTGGTACCTGAGTGGGGGAACCATACTACATCCAGAACAGGTATGTTCTTCAACTTGAGCTTAGTTCCTGTATCAAGGGTGGAATTGTAAATGAGTGATCATCACTATAAGCCAGCCCCAACCAGATAGCCGAGGTTCCACAACTTGGGGTTGGAATTAAGGGGTCTTGGTTCTTATATCCCACACTGGTGGCTAGGGCAATTGGACCGCAATGTTACACCAACACACACACATATATATGTACATGTATATATATATATATATATACAGGCCTGCCAACGAGGGGGGGGGGC